TTTTCTGACATGTTATGTTCTGAATCAATGAATGTTGTCCATATATTTAAAAGTATTCGTGGCATCCTTAGCACAAGGCCTTAGCCCGGAGGTAACAATATCGTGGTCTATGAGCACAATGCCCTTGCCTGAGGGTAATAATATCGTGGTCTCATGGCCCTTGCCCGAGTGTAATAATATCGTGGTCTCATGGCCCTCGGCTGGGGGTAACAATATCGTGGCTCAAGTATGTTATAAGTTCTTGGTACCAGAGGTTCCTTTAAGTATGACCTTTGATGCTCTATACATGATTTATTAGCACTAATGGGTATACCACATATGATCCTCTGTGAAATTGAACATGAATTATAAATAAGAATATGAATCTGTTTCTACTTTCTGAATCTGATATGGGGCATCATTCATTTAATCCTTTGCTCTATTATTATTTACCATGCTTTCGCTCACTATTTATATTATATATGTAGGTGAACAGGTGCGTGACCAGGGCTAACTTGCTGCCTGGAGAGTTTTGGGTCAGCTAGCCACTATGCCTCCCAGAGAGGTTCCCATTTGAGAAGTCAAGTTTTGTGAACTATGCCAAGAATGTTTTGTTATTTTGTTTTGGTTTATCTGTACACTGGGCTATGTCCCTTATGATACTACCTGTATAGTAATGCAATACTTAAGGAAGTTTGACGTCACTTATGTATGTATATGTCTCAATTTTGAAATTTCTGTTCCATGTTTGTTTGCACAGCTCTATGGACTATGTATGTTTTTATATTTGCTTCCATAGCCCCTTATTACTTGCTGATCTATTCAAAGGCCTTTGGTAATCTAAGGATTACTGGCCGATTACGACGTTGAACCTATAGGGGCAAGTTTGGGTCGTGACATTAATGCTCATCCCTAGTGAAACCGCTTGCAAGAAAAAGGTGTTGTTGTGATGTCCCAAGTTCTTTTTAAAACAAATTTAGTATTTCAATCTAGAATTTCCACTTCTTTTAATCATCCTTGTTACTTTGGAACTTTATAAGTCTCATTTTGTTGTCTGTTCTTTCTCTATAGTTATTCAAGTACATCCTAGTGTGTTTTGGGGTGTCGTTTTTCATTCTTGGGTGTTAGAGTGAGTCCGGTAATGATGGGAATGCATTAAGGTGGCTAATGTCTCTGTTTTGAGTTGGGACCGCTCGAGCGGTACTTTCATTGCTCGAACAGTGACATTATACTTCCAATATCTTGTTTTGCAGTTTGAATTATTAAGAGTGTGTATTCTTTACTTGAGCGAAGGTTTCATCGCTCGAGTGATTTTTTCACAATGAGGAGATAGATTCTGGGAGTTGGTATTTTTTCGCTCATGCGTAGGATTATTCACTTGAGCAGTCTTAGAAATTTAAATTGTTCGCTCGAGCACAAGTTTGTTCGCTCAAGCGGTTTGTCCGCAATCTGCTCCAAAAAATGTGTCCAATCACTTAAAAGTTGAGCCCTTACACATTTCTCATCCACTTTTCACTTCACTTTCTCTCTCTACATTTTACTTTCTCTTTTTTCTTTCATCTGTCTCTAGAAACCCTTCATTCACCTCATTTATTTCTTTGATCTTTCCATATGCTTTGAGATTTTGGCCCAAGTGTTTTCTTTAATATTGGAGAGTTCATCAAGAGCTACGTTGTGTATGGTAGAGATCAGATTTTGACACCGTTGATTTTGAAGCTTTTCTCATTTTTTCGTCCCAAAACTTGAGGTGGGGAGTTTCTTTGAGTTATATATATGATTTTGAGTACGGAGTTTTGAGGCTTGAAGTGTTGGGTCTAGAAAATGTCAGAGAAATGGTTTTTCTTATGATTTTGGTTCAAGATAAATTATTTTGTGAACTTATGAACCACTTGGAAGTGCATGTAACAAAAATATTTTGAAATGAAGGAAAACCCTCTTTGATCAAACCTTACGTTTTGGGACAAATTAGAAAAAAGTGGATTTTTTGAAATATCCATAAAATTGTTGTTAAATCCCTTAAGAAATTGATAGAATCTTCCTTACATTGTGGTGTTGTTTGGATACCTATGAAATGGATGAGGGTGGTTGTTGTTAAATTATGGATAACATGATGTGCATATATGTTTGAAAAATGGAAATGAAAATGAATGTTGATTGTGAATATGAGAGGGTGTCATATGTCACATGGATATGGATTTGATATGAATTTTGGGGGATATATATGTATTGAATATCATAGTTTCCCTTTGAGCAAATGTTAATAATTTTGAAGGAATCATATATATTGAAACTTTATAATTGCATTTCATTCCATTCATCTTGCATAGCTTGAAAATGGTTTATTGTTGCTATGCCTTGGAAATTGATATGTTGTTTGAGGAAAAAAAATATTACTCTTGAAATGTTTTGGGATAAATACAGTGGAAAATTCGGTTAGAGAGGGTGTGTAGACACTCTATTTTTTACTATCCTTGAGACTTGAGCGCTCCTTTTTGAGTTCCCGATGATGAAGATGAGGTGTGTTAATCTTTACAAGTTTTGCAACAAGAAGCCTAAGGATCAAGCTTTAAAACAATCCAGTGCTTGTTTTGGACAAAATGTTTTTTGACCAAAATGGAAACCTCTTCCAAAACGAATTTTAGTGGTGCAACTCCAGACGTTATCACAATGTTCTGCAGCTCGTATTTTTAAAATCAAAACGTGGTATTCTTTCCAACGAACTGAGCAATGAATATAGTAGAAGTGAATGAGAGGGATGAAATCCTCTGAAATACATGTTTCTTCTTTTAATTCAGGCTAACCTGCTCTTGTTTATCTGATAATGTGCCCACTAGCTAGCCGAGACTATATAATGGCTGGTTACAAAAGCACTCGGCCGATCGCTAAGAAGCTCGGCCAGCTAAATGTTCCGAGTACAAAGCATTTTTGTACATTTCAGCTTGTTTTGCTTACCTACCACAAATGTCTATGATATTTATGACCTGAGTTCTATATATAGAGCTTGCCAGCTCATTTCAAGGGGTTGAAAAACTTTCCTAAGGAATAACAAAGTTTGGGAGCCCCCTCTCATTCTTTCTTTGCTTTCTACCTACCACCTTTACCTTTTAATACTAAATCCTTCCTTAAAGCTTGATCCTAAGCTCTGGACAAAGGACTTTGGACATTAAAAAACACACTTAAAAGTTCTTGAGGGACTTTAAAGGGTGTTTGTGAACAAAAGAACTCACCCTCATTAAGAGGTGAATCCTTTGCTTCTTTGATCATCATCTTCCTACTTTTTTGTTAGTTCCAACTCTATTTTCAATAATGTGATTGTTGTAAGTCCTCATGGATGTGGAGCGAGTAGCCTTAGCCACCCATCTATTGAGTTGATAGTCATTTCTTTACCTTATCACTTTCCTTAGCTTTAAATTCCTAGTTATTATGTATTTTGGATCCTTGTGGATGTGATGGGGAGTAGTTTTACGTATCCATCCACAAGTTCAATAAGCAAAGTAGCTTTTTTTTTTTTTTTTTTATTGCACCCCTTATCTTCACCTATCCTATCTCTCAAGTGTGTCAATCTATGTGTTTCAACTCTTCACTCAATAACCATGAGTGTTAGGGGTTGTTCTATGAGATTAATTTGGTGATCTATGGGATTTGGTGTTGACAAGTGGTGCCTTCTTTTCTTTTTCATTAATCAAGAGATTTTAGGTCAAAGGAAGTTAAAGCCTCCATTCGCACTGAAGGGGACCATGGGCGTATACTTAAGTTAACCAAGGAGTTTCTTCGCTCCAATCCACTTGTGTTTTTGGGGGAGCCTAAGCCATTTGATGCTGATGATTGGTTATAGTAGATTACCATGACTCTTGATATGCTCAGAGTCGAGGATGAGGAGTTGATTGTTGTTTTGGCTGGTTTCCAACTGAAAGGAGACGCTAGTTTTGGGCGAAGTATTTTCCTCCTTCTGCTCGAGAAAGATTGAGGAAGCAGTTTGTTGAGTTGCACTAGGATGATACTCCTTTGGCACAATTTTTGAGGCGAGGTTCGCTCCAGAGTTAGTCGCAATAGAGGAGCGTCATTGTCTTGAGTTTGAGGGAAGGTTGTGTGATGATTATCACACCTTGGTAGAGGCGGTGGCTCACGTGGAAGCAGTGAATCTTAGTATTGGTCAAGATAAGGAAGAAGAGAGCATGTCAACAAATCCGACTGTTCGGGGTAGTAGTAGACCTAGTAAGAATTGAAGATGGGCTAGATCTTAGGCACAGGCACAGTTATTGCCCCAACCTATTTTTTTTTTCTTTGGACTCGTCCTTTGGGAGGTCCAATCAGACTTAGGCTTCTTTGAGTCAATCGCAGAATAAAGGACCACCTACTTGTTCTATGTATGGTTAGTTAGGCCATATTCAGCGTCGTAGCCCTCTAAGTGGGTAGAGCTAGTTTTAGTAGTCCAAATGGGGGTGATGGTGATGTTATAGTGTGGTGGAGTGTTATTGTTTTGTAATGTAATGTGATGTTATTTTATTTAGGGCTTTATGCCTACAGATGTTGCATATGTATGTATATGCACTACAACAAAACTGGGTTTTTACGGTTTCACATCAACGACATACAGTAAATGCAAGCCATGGTCTCTCACTTTTACGACTTACTTTTTTTGCACGTCGTAAATAATTTTCCAACTATGGATTGTCTATTGCCTAGGCCGTGAATGGTAGTAATGATGATTTTTTTATGGCTTGCAATGTTTGCCGTAAATAATAAAACTTTCTATGATATGCATATAGCATGCGGTTAATACATCAACTATACATACATCAGTCGTGAAATGTATTGCACTTTTCACAGAGCACACAACGCTTGTCGTTAAAAGTATTGCACTTTTTATGACACACCCAACGCTTGCCGTTAAAAGTATTGCATTTTTACGATGCATAATGCATGTTGTGAATGCTATGACCGAAAAAAAAGTAGTTGCCAAAATGAAAAACTCTAGCGCCAAAACACCAAAAAAATATATTTAAAAAAATAAAGAGAAGAGAGGGGTCTGAGCAAAGAGCGGGTTAGGCACAAAAGAGAAGAGAAGAGAAGAGAAGGGTTCGAAGAAGTAAAATCGCAGGGGAAGAGAAGGGTTTGAGCACCGAATACTATTAAAAACATTCACTCCTTGGCTTCTAATGGCTGATCATATAATACTGTCGAAGGAGGAAAATCGAGAAAGAGGGAGAAGTGAGAGGCTTCGAACGGTAAGGGTTTCAAATGATGTTCTCTCTCTCTCTCTTCACCCCACTCTCATACTCTCTCTTATATGCCCTACCACACCACCAATTTCTAGGGCTTATATATCTCGTTGTGGTAAATCGACCCAATTAAGAGTTCTGAGAAGCCATGGACAAAGAGACACCACTCGTTGCTGAACACTTGGATTTTGAAACCCTAACCAAGAGCTGTCTTGTTGATTTTCTTGGGTCATGGTGTTGCTTAGAACTTTGAGAATATTATCAAAACTGTGAGTTCTAACATTGCTTGTTGTCATTTTTGAAGTAAATTTTTGAAGAAAATTTTGTTTTCTGAAGAAAAATTTGATTTGATTAATGTTTTTTTTCTAGAGTTTAGTTGATCATTTTTAGCCTTTAAACTATCGATTTCATCTATTTAGTGTTCTACTTTCTAGAGTGTTCTATTTCATCTATTTATATATGTATACATACTCACATATGTTTGATTGAGTTGGTTAGAATTGATACTGGTCTTGCCCCCAATCCCTAATTAATGTGTTCAATTTCATGTGCATATATGGTGCTTGGTTGCTATAGACAACGTGTTTGACAAAAGTCCCAAGTGAGATGAGATTCCTCTTGCTTTGATTCTCTTTTCTGACTAACCAAATAGAGTATTTTCCTCATTTGATTACTCTGGTTAATTGTATGTTACAATTTTTAGCCTAATTTGTACTCTCTTTTTTTTTATCTGTTAAAAATGGTTGAGAGGAAAAGTGAAAGATGTTCCTTCTGGGGATAGTTTGGTGGCAATAGGGAGCACCAAGGCAGAAATCCCCCCTGAGAAGACAATCACTTTGTCATCCCTTATTGCTCCAAGATTGGTAAGTTTATTCAATCTGCAATATTTGTTTCATATTTTGTACCTTATGTGCATCTTATTTTTTTCTTTATTTAACCCTTTCCCATTTACATTTCTAGGCCCGTAGATGTGGTGTTGATAAGCCATTTGCATGGGAAAGTAGAGAGTATTTAAGGAAACTGTGTATAGGAAAGGTGCTCATTTAAATGCTTTAGCTATAGCTATGATTGCAATCTATCATTTTCCTAATGAATGAGTAGGACATTTTTAGATTTGAACCAATCTACTTTTGAATAGGATGTCACATTCAAAGTGGATTATATTGTACCATCTATTGGGCAAGAGTTTGGCTTTGTTTTCCTTGGTGATAAGAATGTTGCATTGATGGTTGGGTAAAGGTATATTACTCTTGATTTGTGCATACATTTTTTATTTTAATATCTAATTTTGGTTGTCTATGGGTGGACAATTGTTGAATTTGCTAGGTGCAGGTTAAGGAGCAGGGTCAACAGAAAGGAGATGCTAGTCCTTTCTTAGCAGAACTGCTACGTCTTGAAGAGCCAGCCAAGCAACAAGGGCTAGGACGTTGGACCAGGGTTAGTCTAAGTTCTTTACTTCCGTTTTCTCCCCATACTCTTCCCGTTTTCCTAGTACAATGGAGCACCTATAGTATAAGTTTTGTACCTTTCCCTTTTATTTTGTCCATGCCATAATAGCAACATAGTGCACTTGCACACCCTATATAAGTTTCCTTTCAATTCTTTAACAAGTGAAGTTATGGAGCAGTCATCTATAATATTGAACATTAAGGAAAAATGACTCTTGTTTTGACAGGCTAATAGTTTCGGTCTTAGACGTTACCAGATTTGTTGATTGCTATGGATAACTTAATTTATTTAGGTGTGTAAGTTGTGTCTACATAATAGGTCACTATAAGGTGGATTTGAGTGACAAATTTTTTCTTAATAAAATCATTGAAATACTCTCTTGACATTTTCCTGCTGCAAATGTTGGGGAAACCATATCCTTTGAAAGTAAAAAAGAAAACTGCATTATTATAGTAATCCATGAGGAGTTAAACTTTGGTCCTTTTACTTTGAAAAGACCACACCTAGCCATAGATTGCAAGTCATTTGCTTTAGGTGTCCTATTTTCAAGTTTTAATAAATGCTTTAGCAATGATGAAGAGATTAAATGAGGAACATTTTCAATAGGAAACTGACAGTAATTGGTTGAGAGAGAGCATCATATATTATCGGAAAGAGATTATTAATGATTTTAATACTACCTTCTCCCTTTTATTTTGTTGGGAGGAGTGTATGCTTATCCCTTTCTGTCAAGCCCCTAACTTGCCCCTAAAAGTTCGGGCATGACCCATTCAAAAACAAATATAAAACCTGGTATATATATATAGCATATGGGGCCTTGTCGGAAGCACAAACATTAAAAGAACACTAACCAACAAACTCCATTGAGCTATTTCTAACATGCCAGGATCTCATACATCACATGTATCATAATAGGTCAATAGAGTCCAAAATAAATATTTCTTTGCAGTACATATACACAAACACATATACAGACCTAGCCCTAGCATCGAGCATGTAACAAAAACTGTTGAAGTTTTATACACACAACCTTGGGAGGATAACCAAAAGTAAGTCAATCATCTCAACAAACTTCACAAAATAAGTGGCCTCAAAAGTGCTTGGGTACAGGAAGGTTGACAAAAGAAACCGGGCGTCATGGTTTAGGATTGACCACTTGGTTGATTGCCTACAGAAACAGACATAACAAATAGTGAGCCGGGCTCAGTGAATAGTAATACATGAATGAAACAATGCTCAACTTGAAACATGACATATATCAATACATATGGAAGTGCAGAGATTACAAAGTTAGCCTGATTCTGTATTCATCTTACAATGGCCTTAGGCCCAATCTTGAACATAACAGCTTGACATATCACATTCTTAATTCATGATGGCTTGAAGCCCTTGAGCATGGTGGCATAATGCCCTTGAACATGGTGGCAAGGTGCCCTTAAACATGGTGGCACATGGCCCTTAAACATGGTGGCACATGGCCCTTAAACATGCTTATACGAACTCAAGAGGTGTCTCACACGGATTCTAGAGGTGGCTCACGTCGTAGCACTTAGTTCCGTGTAGCACTTTGTTTCGTATCGTAATAACTTATATTGGATGGCCATAGGCCCAAAGTCTTATAGCATGAAGGTATTTTATCTCACCCATTTCTTTCTTACATATTTGGAACAACATACTTGAATATTGACATTTATACTTGCAACATTAACATAGTTGCGTAAACGAAGTGCTAAGGAAGAGCATTAGTCCTATGTAAAGTAGATAATGATATTACTACTCACAGTGTTGCGATGATGTGCTTGTTCCTCCCGGAATGTGCCCTGCACACATTCAACCTTTACAATTTAGTTTCCTTTTCATATCAACTCACTTTCTGTTTCGTTTCACTTCGAAGGAATTTATACATATTAAAAGGCATCAAAGACATATCCCGACAACATTAGAGGGTTCTACACGCAAAACGGAGCGATCCATGTTTTTCAGCATGGGCCTCACGTGCGGCTGTGAGCCCCGCACGTGCGGCAAGCTCTCCCGCACGTGCGGCAAAATGCCCCGCACGTGCCTTTTAGACAGTGGCCGAGCCCCTGTTTTTCACCATTTCCCGCACGTGCGGCCATGACTCCCGCACGTGCGGCAGCACCTCCCGCACGTGCGGCCATGACCCCCGCACGTGCGGCGATTCTGCTCAAAATTGTTCGAAATTCTTACAAAATCCCAATCTTTTGGTACATCCTCACAAGGCTCATTTTAACATTTTTAGTTGACAATTCATAGCCTAAAATTCATGTTACAAAGGCTTCAAATACATACATTAAACTAGGCAAACACTAATTCTTGAATCCATAACTATAATCAAATTTCCTTTTTCATCAACATCATATACCATCACATATATATATAAGGTAAGTTCTTCATGATCTTTCATGAGAAAGTAAGAAATCAAAGCTAATTGCTCCACATACATACATAAACAACTTAGTTCAAACTCACCCAATGGATTAAACATGATCCAATTACACCTTGGGTTCAATTATCATGATTGTATCACCCTCAAGTTCAAGAGAGGAATTATAAAAGTTAGACAAACTTACCATGAGTTGAGATCTCCCAAAGTCTCTCTAAGTTGTTCAATCTCTAGCCTTTAGTGAAACTCCCTTCTCATCTCTCTCTATTCTTACCCTCTCTATTCTTTTCCATGAAAATGTGTTGAACTAGGTCCAAGGCTCCAAGAACACACATATATATATAAGAGCTAATAAGACAAAAGTCAATCGTTTAAACATCCGAAATTGAAATTTTCCAAACATGCTTAATATTACCTAAAAATTATGCTGATTACATATTTAAAATCAATTTCAGATAATTAAGCCTTGAAGGCCTCCAATTTCGATTCAAACCTTCTAATGTGACAGATGCGTTTCTTGTTGAACAGATAGACATTCTTAAACATAAGCTTTAAACATGGAGTTAACTTTCTTATCCCTAATTTCTCATGGAATTACACAGTAAGCATCCAAAATCACAAAATAGGATCCGAAAATATAACAAGGAACATGTGCGAGGGTCAGGTTATTACACTTTCGTTGGCTGTTGTTTAATAATTATTATTATTTTAAGTCTGTGAAACAATTGCCTGAGCAACATTAAGCAAAATGGATTTTTAAACTATTTTTTTTTTCTTTTTTAAGGGACTAAAAATTGGAAAAAAAGTGTATTCGGAAATGGCACCACATATGCCATAAGTTCTCTTCTCTTTCCTCCGTGGTTCTTGAATTGTCTGATTCATCTATGTTAGGATGACTGTTGCTAACTCTTTTTGTCTCTTATGTTTTATCTTATTACTGGTATTGAGGTAGTGTTCATATGATATAGAGAAGAACTATGGTTTAAGTAATTTATCGGTCAAACAAGAAAGCTCACTAGTGATGGACAATAATGAACTTCTTTGCCAGCAAGAAAGCACTTTATAAGTAGGGCCCAGGACCTTGTTGTTTATTTCTTTTTGCTTAATAGTAAACATAAGATATGTGAACTTCTGGGAAAAGGGAAAGGAGTGTGGAAGATACTTCTTCTTTTTCTTCCTCTTCTTCTTCCTTGCACCTGTAAGATACTTGAATAACAGGGTTTTTTACAAAAGAGAAAGTTCCTGAAGATATTGTTGTTGTAAATATTGTTAACATGATCAGGTTTAGAGTTCTATCTCTCAAAAACTTGAAGAGAAATTCAAAGGATGAGTGGTTTTTGTCCAAATGGAGACTTCCAGCCTCTATCTTTAAAGAGGCTTCGACTTTATGAGTTGGCTGTGTTTTGTAACCTTTTTGTTGCAGACGGTTTTTTCCCATCCATGTGTGCTGGTGTATGGTTGCTGTTGAATTAAAAAATGTGGAAGATAAGAGTTTTGAGGGTTGAGTGTTGTGAGATTCCATATTCTGGGTTAAGTGGCTATGAGCTCAAAATGAGTTTTGTATATACTGTGTTTTTCCTAATTGTTTGCTATGCAAGTTGCAAAGTTGGCCTTCATTTAGGGCCAGTGAATTCAGTTTTGTGAGCACATACTTAGGGTGTGGAGTTGGCAATGAGTTGTAGGTTGATAGAAGGTAAGTTATAAATTGTGCCTTAACTTTGTTGGTTTTGCAAGTTCTCTATTACTGGTGCTATTGTTAGGGAATTCTTTGTTTTGTGAGCCTAGTGTCTGTGAGGATAAACTTTTGTTTTTTGTGTTCACTGTTATTTATCTTCTTGTTGAGAGTTTGAGTTTGTGGGTCGAATGATCTAAGTATATACTAAGTGTGGTTGCTGCTAGTTCATTTCATCTTGCTTACTATGTTTGGATATTCCAGGTTATGCAGATGGTTTGGCTAGGTATGATCTAGGTAGCCCAATCAATTTTCAGCAAATTCTTCTTAGTTTTATCAGAGAGTGATGGTGCTGTACGGGAGCCAGGCTGCAACTCTGCGCCAGTTCCAGTTGGTCTTTATGGATTCCAATATTATATATTATCAATATTAGGTCATTGGTTCTTATTCCGCTAATTTATTTAGTATTTGACGCTAGAATTAGATATTAGCTGAATGTAGAAGCTTGAACATATTCAATTAGGAAATAAAAAGGGCTGATGATCTTGAAACCTACCACACTCTAATTTTGCTGCAACTGTAACTGTAATTTGCTATAGCATTTTGTATAATTTTTGAAGTTATATGACCATAACCAGCCATAGCATTCTGTATAATTTTTCTCTGTTCATATCATCACTGTAGTCTAATTTTATCTAGGAAAGGAATTATGATATCATAACCTGTGTAATTTTGGAGGATACCCATTTCCATTGCACATAAATGGAAAAAGAATAGTTTACTTTGTGCTCACGGGACAGCTTCATCTGGTACCTACTTCATGGCATTATTCTCTAATTGCATTGCTACATTGTCATCTTGTTGCGGCTGTGTGCTCATATTGCTGCACCTTTTCTTTTCATATTAAAAAAAAATCTCTATGCTATCGCTTTTTTTTTTTCCTTGCATGTTTGGAAAAAAAAAATAATTTTCATAGCCAACTGAACCAATTTATGACAAACTCAGAACAGACTTCAGAGCAGACCAACTAACCCTCCACAAAACCAGGAGCAGTTCGGCACTTAATTACACACAGTGACACACTTGACTCAGGTTGAAGATAACATCTTGCACCGAATAGTTAAACCCCTTTAATGATGTAGAAACCCACAACGCGACTCTAGCCTTTATCAGTTCTACCAATGCATTCCAATCCGGTTGTACCTTATTAAATAAACAATCGTTTCTGCTTTTCCACACAGACCACATGACTGTTAGAGGCATAATCTTCCAAACTGCTTGCAACTTCTTCTTCACTTTTATGCCTGACCATGACAGGAGTAGTCCCTCCACTGATCCAGGGATAACCCACTCATAATTCCACCAGTTCACTAACATGGCCCACAATTTCCAAATGATAGGACAGTGCAGAAAAACATGATTTACGGACTCCACCCCAGATCTGCAGAACACACAGACAGCCGAGGCGTTTGGGCTCAACACTCCTATTCTTTGCAAGAATTCAGAGCATTTTATCCTTCCTTTCCACGCTAGCCAACTCAAGAATTGAACTTTGGGTGGGGCTATATTATTCCAAATGCACCTAGTGACTGTGCAGTCCACCCCTTGACTTGCTTCCATCCACTTCCAAATTGATGCCACAGTGAACTCTTCAGACGGATGGCCTAGCCAAGCACAAGAATCTACCACCCCTTCATTGAGCCTAGGCGCACTCTGCAGAAGGTCATTAAGTTTTTGCACTTCCTCCTCTTCCCATGCTAAAAGTGGTCTTCTGAAAACCAGATTCCAATCAGGGTCGGCCATTCTTCGGTGAAAAAAATCAAACAACTTTCCATCTTTATCAACTGATAGTGTGAATAATCTGGGAAAAGACACACTCAGATTTTGGTTGTGGCACCACCTATCAGTCCAAAAATGCAACCTTCTACCATTTCCAACAACTAACCTGTAGTTTCGCAAGAAGAAATCACGCAGGGCAGTGTTAACTACAGCCACTGACAATATATCTTTCCACGTATGTGATAGCCACACTGAACTAGAAAAAAATGGGCACCAACCACCACCTAAACCTCCATACTTACTACAAATCACTTGTTTCCACAACGCTGACTCCTCCTTGCCATACCTCCACCACCATTTAACTAGTAGGCATTCATTAACCTGGCTAAGATTTCTCACACCTAGCCCACCTTTAGTTTTACTTAGGCATACCTCCTTCCAGTTAACTTGAAATGTATTCAAAAGTGCTGGGCCATCATGAAAGGGGAGTTTGTGCAGTTGATGAATGAGTTCCATTCTAATGGAAAGTTAGTCCAAGGAATAAATAGTTCATTTATTACCTTAATTCCCAAGAAAGAAAATCCTGTGGGGTTGGGGGATTACAGGCCAATCAGCTTGATTACCTCCGTATACAAAATCATAGCTAAAGTCTTATCAAGAAGGCTGAGGAAAGTGCTGCCTAAGATCATTAGTGAAGTTCAAACTGCATTTTTGAGTGGAAGGCACATTATAGATGGGGTTTTAATTGCCAATGAAGTGGTGGACTGGTGGAAAAGGTCAAAGAAAAAAGGTCTCATCCTAAAGCTGGATTTTGAAAAGGCGTATGATTCCGTAAATTGGGAGTTCTTGTACTCAATGATGAAAAACTTCGGTTTTGGAGAGAAATGGGTGGGGTGGATGAAGACCTGCATATCCACAGCTCGAATTTCAGTACTTGTAAATGGCTCACCAACTTCTGAGTTTTCTCCCATGAAAGGGCTTAGGCAAGGAGATCCGCTCTCTCCTCTTCTCTTTAATATTGTAGCGGAGGGTCTGAACATTCTATTGGAAAGAGCTAAGGAAGTGGGACTGATTAGAGGAGTATCCGTAGGATCATCTGAATTGACAATTACACATCTACAGTTTGCCGATGATACCATTATTTTTTGTGAAGAGTTATGAGCATTTTGTCTGTTCATAATTTATTGCTAGTTCTATTTAGTTGTTAACATGTTGGCTTCACCTTCATTCATCTATCAATTATTCAATGCCGTCAATTTACTTTCTTGAAGTCCTAAACATTGGGTGTTCTACCTGGAGCTACTATTCTAGGTAATTTTTGCTTCTGGAGTGTGAAGCATGAGGACCTTGTTGAGCAAGTGAAGAAGTTGTTTACCAAATTGTCATCGGATCCAACCACGACTTCTGAATTAGTTGCCAAAGGGCCAGCAATTTTTTCAGGATTTTTTGTGTTAAAATCCTTTGGTTTTTTATTTCTCTTATTTTTTCTTTTTTTCCTCGGATCTGACAGTGGGTGTTTTGGTTCACTTCTTATTTTTTGTATTAAATGGGGGAGTGGTGAGAGAGAGAGGAGGGTAATGTTATTTTGTGGCTTTGTATATAAGGTAGTAATTTTTTGATTGAGAATTGTGAATTCAATTTTTGGATATGTTATTTTGTGGGAAAATTAATGCTATATTAAATTGAATGAGAAAGTGAATCAATGCTATATTTGTTATTTGAATGGGAGTTATTATTTCATATTAGTGTTATTTAGTTTTATTATTGGTGTTCTTTTAGTTCAATCACATAAAATTAGCACAATTTCAAAACCAAAAAAAAAAGAAAAAAAGAAAAGAAAGATAAGACGGCGTTTTTAAAATGCCACTATAACGGGTGGAATTTTTAAAATTAGAAAAGCCTATGAAGGCGTTTTAAAAACGTCGCTAAAATCATAGTGACGTCATAGTATTGTTAGGGTAGGACATTTGGCGGCGTTTATAAAAACGCCGCCTATACTAATACAGCGACGTTTTCCAAACGTCATAAACTTATAGCGACGGCCGCATCATCGGCGTTTGATACTAAACGTCACAAAAAAATTAGCGACGTTTTTGGTACTTTTAGCGGCGTTTTTTAAACGCCGCTAAAAGCCTTATTTCCAGCAGTGGTCGAGTGATCTAACTATATACTAAGTGTGGTTGCTGCTAGTTCATTTCATTTTGCTTACTGTGTTTGGATATTCCAGGTTGTGCAGATGGTTTGGCTGGGTATGATCTAGGTAGCCCAGTCAATTTTCAGCAAATTCTTCTTGGTTTTATCAGAGAGTGATGGTGCTGTATGGAAGCCAGGCTGCAACTCTGCACCAGTTCCAATTCTAGTTCTTTGTGCCTTGGGTCAATCCGTTGTTCTATTTATTTTCTTTCCTCCTCTCAATGTTTTGTGATTTTGGAAATTTTCTTTTTATTTCAATTGTGTATCAGTGTTACTGTCCCTTCTTCTACAGGTTGTATAGGAGATCTGTTCTTTGGGTAGTTGTCGGTTATGGTGTCCCCATGAAGCTTGTTGTTTTGCTGTAACCAGATAGTGATATATGTTATGATCCTGAAGGCCTTGGTACAAAGCTATTGCAGCTACTCATACATATGGAGGCTTTTTAGTTTGTCTACAGGTCTTTGTGTCGCCACTGCTTATTGGTTGTGATGAAGTAATGCCTTGGCTCAGTTGTTTGGAATTAGTGGGTTTTGCTTTCCTGGTTTCCTCTGTTTGCTGATATGGGCCCTTTTGTTCTTGTTCTACCTCCATATTTTCTTTTAGATATGGATGTTGAACAGGTTGTTTGGCCCCTTTGCTTTTTCTGTCTTCTAGGTCTTTAGCTTGGTTGTAGTTTTTGTTAGTTTGGTTTTATTGTATAGCTATGGTAGGGCCTGGGGTATGCCCCTTGGAATCCTATATATTTTCCTATTTTATTTTATGACTTATTCACCCAAAAAAAAAATTGTATATTTTGGTGTTTGATTAATGCTTATATATATATATACATTTGTGAAGCTTGTTTGTAATGTTTTCTCAGATTATACAGAACATGTGAAATAAAACCTGCTGAATATATATATATATATTTAAAAAAAATATACATATTCTACGACATGCAAATAATGTTGTGAAACTTGGGCTACCTACGGCAGGCAAAATAGGTCATTGTATTAAATATTCAACGACTAGTAATGAACGTCGTGGTTTGTCCCTTGAAGTAACAATGCAAAAGTAGTTGTAGAAAAGTCAAACATGATGCACAAAATCTGCTGTTAAAGGGTTTTTAACGGTGTACTACGACATGCCGTTGAAGTGAATGACTTTCTATGGCTGGTCGTAACACGGCTTTACCTTGCGCATCATAGAATCATTTTCACGACGTGCATTTGGTGCCGTAAAATCATTTTTTGTTGTAGTGATGTGTTGTTGTGAACCCGAATGGTATGGGCATGTAATTAATCTTGAACTTGCTTGTATTGTGTTGAAAAGTGTTGTACGGATTAGAATCCTAGTTTTATTATGATGTATTATTTTCTAGAGTTAAGCATGTGTTGGCTTATGCTGTCTTGGATTGATTTAGAGTTGTTTGTTGAGAAGCAAATATTTATTTATCATTTTGACTAGTCTTGAATGTAGTGATGATGCATTGTATGGTTTTAAGTGTGTTTGTTTTAGGGTGGTGTGATACCATACGCTTATGTGAGATGGGTAAGAGTTACCTGGTGGATTGTGAAAGTGTTTGGGGGAGAGTGTGAGACTGGTGTCTCTTAATGAAGAGGGTAGTATTCGTTTTGTGATTCGTTGAGACTTAGTAGTTGTGAGTGGATGTAATTCAGTGATGAAAGTTAAATGTTGGGTGGTATTGCTAGTAATTGTGTAGGGTAATGAGAAATTCTTGGTTGGCTATTGGGAATATTTGTTGGGGAAAGGCACAGTTATAATTCCAGAAGATGAGTATAGTGTTGGTGATGAGTGTTTTGTGTATGTGGGGTTATGTGAATTACAGTTGACCTTATCGGTTGTTTGCGCGTGATGTGATAAGTGTATTTGCCATATAGGTATATGAATGGTGGTTTGATTGGAGAGCAAGAGTGGTGTGGTCCAATCTTAAGGAATCTAGTGTGATTTAAGAAATATGTGGGTATGTGGGTTTGTGTGTGAAACTCCGTCTTGGAGCAAAAAGTGCTAGGTAGCATGTCGGTGTTGGGTACCGAGTGTTAAGGATTGTTGAGTTAGTTAGTTGGTTGGTTGTTTTCGGCAGTGGGTTGACATATAGTCACCTCGAGAGTAGCTTGGAATTAAACATAAGGTTTGTCTGGTTGAATAGCGCTATAGTGTGGACTTGTGAGTGTTAAGTCTCGTGTAGCCAAATTTGAAGTTAGTGTGAGTTGAGGGTAACCGGGTTAGGGTTACATGTTGAGGCCTTTGTGTTATGAGCGCTTTTGCGCCATTGTGTGATTGATAGATGGTGATGGGATAAGGCTCCCAAGAATTTGTAAACTTTATTTGTGTTTCACTATATTATTAGCACAGTTATTAATTTGTTGGTATGTTATGGCATCACTATAAGAGTGATGGGTGTTGTTGGGTGACGAATGAGGTTCACCAATTGTTTTATGTTGAGAAATGAATTCGGAAAATGAATTTTTCCTTTTGTTGTAGCCTCGGATGGCATTGTTGAACTGTAATGTTGTGCATTTAATCTAAGTAGTAATAAAGGATTTTGATGCGTAGCATATTTGATTTAATAAAAGCTGAATCCAACAAATATGAGAATGTGAACGATCATGTGTTCTGAATAATACTTTATTTTGTTTTCGGAGGACAGTTGCAAAATTTTAAGTTTTACGTAGAAATCGAAAACGTATTTTGGTTATGAGCTGTGCAAGTTTCAGCATCTTTTTAGAAAGGAAAAAACAAATTATATACAACAGTAAGATTTTCAAAGAAAATGAGAAAAATGAGAATTTTTTTTTTTTTGTTACATGGATGTGTTGTGAATTATGTCACCTTTCATGGTTTGTTGTGTAGTGACTTAGCTTGGATTGGGGGTCGTGTGTTTAGGTGTTTTGTTTTGAAGAGGGTTTAGTGTTGTTGGGGCTTATTGTGTGCATTGCCTTTTGGGCCATGTTTTCGTGGTAAGTCTTCTTCTTCTGTGAGACTTAATCGAGAGTTTTGTTGTGATGGTGGTTTTCTTTTCCTTAGTGCTCGGGTGTTGAGTGCTTAGTGGTGGTTGACCTCTTTCTTGTATTCTTGTTGTTCAAGTGTCTTTGGGGCCCCGAGGTGTTGGAGCGGGATTTGAAAAATTATCCTAAGTATGCATCTAGGCTTGGATTGGTGGTTGTATTTATTTTTTGGGTTTGGTTTGCCTTGTGTTGCGGAGTATTCTTAAATTTCGAGGACGAAATTTCTTAAAGCGGGGAGATTATAACGACTTGGGTTAGACCCGACCCTTTCATGTTCTTGGATTCGTGATTCGATACTCTTTATCGTTGTCTATACTCCTTATCTTGTTGTTGAATTTAGAGTTGTTGGTTGTGTTGTGAACAGCTTTGTAGTTCATTTTTTTAAAGGAAATCATGTATGTTTTTGTTTAAGTTCGCTCGAGCAGTATTTCCTGTGCTCGAGTCGTCTTTTGCAGTCTGCAAAAATTCTAGAAATGAGTGTAAGGTCCCGGTGTCCCACATCGGGAATGAATGGAGAGTTCCTTGGCTATAAAAGTAAAAACTTGGACCCTTATATAGCATCGAGGCCTTTTCCTGGGTGGTGAGATCCCTAGCAGAACTCCCCAGTTAAGGGTGCTTAGGCTGGAGTAGTCCTGGGATGGGTAACCCACTAGGAAGAACAAATTCGTGCAGGCATGGCCTAAAGCGAACAATATCGATGACGTGTGAAGGGTTGGGCTGTTACAAATGGTATCAGAGCCGACTCTTCGGAGTATCGAGTGTGGGCCCTTGGCGTATCTCGGCGCATGTGAGCAGGCTAGCGAACTGACAGGCTACTACACAGGAACGTGTAGCCTTAAGGGGGGTAAATTGTAAGGTCCCGGTGTAGTTCTGGGAATGGAAGGGGAGTTTCTGGGCTATAAAAGTAAAAATCTAGACCCTTATATAGCATCGAGGCCTTTTCCCGGGTGGTGAGATCCCTAACAAAGCTTTCCAGTTAAGCGTGCTTAGGTTGGAGTAGTTCTCGGATGGGTGACCGATTGTGAAGAACAAATTCATGCGGGCGTGGCCTAAAGCGGACAATATCGATGACGTGTGAAAGGTTGGGGCGTTACAATGGATCATATTGTGCTTGAGCTATGTTTTCGTCGCACGAGCGGTCTCAATTTTTTTAATTTTTTTTTCTTGTTTGATGTTCAAGTGGTGTTTTGGTTGCTCGAGCGGTCTGTGCGTATATTAGATCGGGGAGAAGGGTTTTTTTTTTGTCACTTTTTTCATCTCCTCATTCTCTCTAAAATATTTTTGAATCTAATTTATTCCCTCTCTAGTTCTTCCTTAAAACCTTCACATACACCTTAATCCATTGATTTCACCACCATAGTGCTTTGGAGTAAAACAAAGAGCTTGGCAAGGGCTTATATTCAATCTGAGCAGATCGTCATTTTATCATCGGTGATTTTTGGATTGTCTCATCTTCTCTTTAAGAGATAGAGATTTCTTTGTTCATTTTCAATACCTTATTATAGATACACATGTGGTAGTTTTTATAGCATTTGAAAATATGTTTGTTAAGAAATTTTACAAAAAGCATGATAGAGGTTTGTGGTTTGGATTTTAGGAATTGGAATTGGATGAGTTATGGGCGTTTCGGTTAATTGAGAGGTAGCTAGGCAAGTTCGTGTTGAGGGTGGGGAAAAACTCTAATTTATCATTATGGGCTTAATTAATCTTAAATGGGTGAAGTTGTGTAATAACTGAGTTATGTGTTAAAGAATTGGAATAGTGGTTTAGTTATTAAAATGAAACTTAATTAGGTTTAGTAGTGGTTTTGATTAACTTTGTATTGTAGTTGCGTTTTATGAATTGGATTGGTTTAAGGAAAAATGTGGAGTTTTGGCCAAGGGTGGACGTAATTGATGGTTTTGAAATAACGGATTTGGTTTTGGAAATAAAATAGTGTGTGTAACTTTTTTATGAAATTGAATGAGAAATGGTTGATTTAAAAAGGTGGAATTAGTTATGAATTTATATTGTATTAGTTGTGTATTTATTTATTTGTTTAGTGGTTTTGTCATTGGTCATCAGTGGATGATGATATTGTTGTTGTTGAGTAGATGATGTGTATGTATTACACTTGTACAGTATTATGTAGTTTAGCATGTTGTGCTATTATTGTGTTATTGTTTAGGGGTCTATTTCCCTCCAGGTGGGGCCGGTAAAGCGTTGCGCTTTGATAAAGCTTCCTCATCCCTTCTGGTTTTCTAGACCTATCGATAACAAATTATGTTCTCGACACATCATTGGATTTAAAAAATGGGTCTAATTTTTGAGACTGAATAGCAATGCTCTAAATAAAAAGATAAAAAAAAAAATGACAGAATATGTTGGACACATTAATTTGAAAATTACATGAATTATAAAAAATGAATCAAATTGTGAATCAATTGTGAATCGTGCGATTCACCATAAATTCACTCTCAAAATAGATTCTCCAATAGTTTCGTATCAACTCTGTATAAGTTACGAATCGAATCGTGAATTGGTCATTAATCGTAATATTATGATAAGAGAGCTCTTATTTATTTGCTCACTGAATTTGAGTGATAAAATGATTGATCAATGTTGTTGGTTTGGATCAAACTCTGAATCCATGACAAGTTATTGAATTGAAACTCCGTAGCAAATTGGCTTCTGGTAACCATAGTATCTATGTAATACAACTCAATAATATTATTATTTAAAATATATAAAAATTAATATATTCCAGACTCATTCTCCTGCATACGCAAGCAGAAATTTCAGAGAGAGTGAATCCTCTTAGCCTCATCCATTGTTTGAACTGAACAACACTTTGAGGTAGGTGATCAGTAGTACAGACCAGGAGCTGCATGCTTATTCCTGGTTAGCAGAGATTGGAATGGAGGATGAGAGAATGATCCATTGAGGAATGAGTCAGCGAGCACCTTATACATGGCTTCAGTGAGGTGAACTCCATCCCAATTGATGTAGTGAGATGGGTCAGGACAGGAGGTAGAGGAGGGTGAACCACAGGCACTGAACGCTTGAAAGTTGTAGGGACCGCCCCCAGCTCCACAGCAGGCTTTGAAGGGCTCCTTGAAGCCGTACTTGGCTGAATTCTTCATGACATTGCGGCAGGCGTTCCAGTAATCGGCATAGACAATGACCGCATGAGGAAACCGGGCTCTCAGATCTTGCAACTTGGACTGGAGAACAGCGTTGTGGCTGTAGCTTTGCTTGTTTACACTTGCCACACACCCCATGTCGTCTCTGTCATTTTCTGGAGCCAGTGCCAATGCCAGGGGCAAGCAACCTGTTGTGGGCAGACCTTGTACCACAATGTACTTTGCTCCCTTTGTCAACAATGCCTGTGAACACAACACAAACACAGACACTATAATATAACACATGAAATGATTCAAGTTTAGGTCAAAACTTTTGACACTACCATGTCAATTAACACGACTGTGAATTCCATCTATACTACAGCTAAAAGGCTTTCAGATCAGACAAGCAGCTGTTAGTTAGTTAGTTCGTTAGTTAAGGTGGTTTAGAGCATCTCCAACGGTAATAGGTATTTTACCTATTTAAATATTACTATAAAGTATACATTTTATTTTGCCTATCAACTGTTTTATGTTTTTACTCTAACCATGCTCTTTATTTTAGCTATTTATCCAAATACTATTAATTTTATAAAATGCCACGTCAACAACAAAGATGGAGGGAAATGATCCTAATGATTGAATACATTTTGCCTAACGTTAAAGGCTAGCTACATGTAGCTAGTGAATATGAGTTGAGCCAAAATGCCTAATCATATGCCTAGTACATTGGAATTGAAAAAAGTGAATCACACTAAGTATTTTAACTAACAAGTATTATATGCCTAGTGCATTGGAGATGCTCTTAGTTCTCTATAACAACACAAAAGTGACACCGTAAGATTGACACCAAAAATAACTCAAATAGGAAAATGATATGTCGTTTGTTTGTTCCTTCATTTTTGTTTTATTTATTATAAAGAATACCAATCCTAATTGAGATCTGTGTTGAGAAGAGCTTCTAGGGCTGTTGGGAAGTAAATCCATGTTCTCTCTCATTGTCCTCGTCGTTCTCTCTGAATTATCACTTCGTTTGCCTTCAGTCAAGAAATCGACTAATCTCAGTGTCTTCTCTGTGAGTCTTCTTCAGTCAAGAAATCAATCCACACGATCAACAATAACAAGCAAGAAGACGGAATAGGTAAAATCCAAACTATTAATCAAACAAAAAATGCTTAATGGGTTTGCTTTTGCTCTGAAAGTGTAAGAGGAACCATGGAAAGAAACGCACTAGAATGTGGGTGATAGAAATAAAATAAAACGTAAAAGCAAAAGCCAAAGCGCATATACATGTATATATATACATATATATATATATATATACACTAGGGTGAGGGCATGGTGCTTCGCACAATTATCATGATAAAAAAAAATATTTTATTTGCGAAAGCTATACAAATTATAAATATAATATTTGTGAAATTCTTATTGCATAAAATATTATATTGACAACAGTACAATTATTTTAAAATATTGTTAACAAATGCATGTGTAAATAAAAGTAAAAAATGTAACAACGGTATTTAATGATGATTATGAAAAGATTTTAGACTCTGTTTGGTAGAACTTTTGAAATTTAATTCTATTCTTTAGTTTGAGTGTGTTGTTTGGTTACAATTTTAGAAAATTAATTTTACACCCACTTTTCAAAACACTAATTTTTCAATATTGTATGTCACATCACTCAATTCAAACTCTTTTTAAAACTCATAATCAAACACAATTTTCACGTTCAAATCATAATTTCAAAACTTACAAACTCAAAATACAACTCTATTATCAAATTATAATTCTAAAACTCTACCAAACGCAACCTTAAATTTTGTGGAGAGATTCATAAATTATGAAGGATATAACTTCTCTGCAGTAACTAGAGGGTGTTGTTTGGCATTGTTAGGCTCTGATCTGGGCCAAAGACGATGATCCAACCGTTCAATGTGTAGAACTCATCAAGCATAATATCTTTGCAAAAAATTACATTGATTAGATATCGATAACCATTTGATCAGATCACATTTTTATCATAACTTATTTTGAAAATTCCATTTGAAAATTATATTGAAATGTGATCTGATCAAGTGATTATTGATATCTAATTAATGTGATTTTTTGCAAAGATGATATATTCAACGTGTTTTATATATTGAATGGTTTAGATTATCGTCATGGCCTAGATCAGGGCCCACCAATGCCAAACAACACCCTCTAGTTAGTAGAGAGGAGCTGGGTCTAATTATGAAAGCTGCAAAAAAATAAAATTGAATGAAGGTATATAAATAAAAATAGAAAAACATTATATAATTAAAAAATTTCTTCATAGTGACGTGGGTCACTCTTAAAATAAATCTTAAACTCATAAATGTAATTTTTTTTTGCACTTTTTATGTTTTAATAATTTTCCTTTAATTCATTGCATTTTTTTATTATTATTATTTGAATTCATTGCACTTGACCTTATAAATAATACAAAGAGATGATATATTACACCCAAGATGAACTTCAATTTAGTTTTTTTAATATTTTTTGTGTTACAATATACTTTGCATTATTAATAATATAAGAGTAATTATATAAAAAATTGATATAAAACTTTTCTGCGTAATGCACTCAATATAAATTTTATTTTAAAGTAAAATTCTCTTAAAAATTCTCTTTTTATTAAAAAAAATCATATTACCATATTATTTTTTATTTTAGTATTATTTTTTAAATACAAATGATCATGAGTTGTGACTTGATACAGAAAAAGCTTGTTTTGTCTGGTAAATGAAGTGTGATGGTGATGGCTAGTAACATTTAGGTAACCAAATGAAAAATTATTGATTGTTTCAGAGACGTTAGACCATCTCTAACGTTGCATTAGATTGTGTGTTACATTTAAATTTGATAAAAAAGTTTCTTTTTCTCTCTTCAATGGTTTCACCAAATTGATATCCAATTGAAAACGGAGCAAAAGTTTCACCAAACTGAGAGCATCTCCAACGATTCAGTAAAATTTTCACCAAATCTGAGTAAAAAAAAAGATAATTTTCTCAATCTGATACGAGCAGCTCCAACCATTCCACTGTAGCGTGCATCAAAATAAATGGGATGTCCGGCTGGTCGACCGGACTAGCCAACTCAATTTTTTTTGCCCCCTCCTTTTCTATTCCCAATTCGTTTCTTATTTCTTTTTCCCACCATTACATATTTTTCATTTTTGGTTGCCTCCAATAATGATTTCCTTCCAAAACCTAATATAAACACATTATCCATGTACCATATACCAGACAAGTGGTACGTTATATCTGAAAGGCACCATATCTGAAACGCACCATAACTGAAAGTAGAGCATAATGAGTATATTAAATTCCATGATATTCACTTCATTTTCATCCTCTTCTTCTTCCTCATCCTCTGATGATGAGTCTAATGATGAAAAAATGGTCACACTTTTGGGGGCTTATAAGATGAATAATGCTAGTATGATTCAAATTCTGCAATCAACTGATGGATCAAAGAAAAGAGATGGTTCTGTTGTAGGCCATAAGTACATACGTCGCGATAGAATGAAGGGTCATGAGCGATTGTTTGCGGATCATTGTGCGGAAAATCCAGTGTATTCACCTGCAACATTTCAGAGACGTTTTTGAATATGTCGTTCTTTGTATCTACGAATTTTGAATGCCATCGAAGCACACAATACATATTTTGTTCAAAAATAAGATGCAGCTTATATTCTTGGATTGTCTTCTTTACAAAAGATGACTTCAGTAATGAGAATATTGTCATATGGAGTGGCAATAAATGCAGTTGATGATTATATACGTATTAGGGAAATCACTGCAATTAAAAGGTTGCAACACTTTTGTAATTCAGTAATTGAAATCTTCGGACCAGAATACCTGAGATCTCCAATATCAACTGATATTGCTAGATTACTTGCTATTGGGGAGGTTCGGGGGTTTTCGGGTATGTTGGGAAGTTTAGATTGCATGCATTGGGAGTGAAAAAATTGTCCAAAGGCATGACAAGGTCAATACGTAGGCCATCAAAAAAAGCCAAGCATCATTCTTGAAGTAGTAGCTTCTTATGACTTGTGGATTTGGCATGTATTTTTTGGAATGTCTGGATCACACAATAACTTGAATATGTTGGATCGATCGCCCTAGTTTTCTGATCTTGCTTAAGGTAAAGCTCGCTCTGTCCATTACACTATTAATGGACACAGTTATAATATGGGTTATTACCTTGCTGATGGTATATACCCTCAATGGACAACACTGGTTCAAGCAATCTCTTCTCCCCAATGAGCAAAAAAGCAACATTTTGCAATGATGCAAGAATCAGCAAGGAAGGATGTAGAGCGGGCATTCGGAGTGTTCCAATCTCGATTTGCAATTATAGATGATGCCGTACATTTTTGGGATTTGAAAATGCTTGGGAACATAATAAAGAGTTGCGTTGTATTACATAATATGATTGTCGAAGATGAGAGAGAGGAGTACCTTGATTTCGATAATGAATTTTCATCAACCAATGCACCGGTACAACTTTCTTGTACTACTAACAATGACTTCTAATCATTTCTGTCTTGTTATTTAGGTATTAGAGATAAAAATGGATATCATGCCCTCCGTAATGATTTAATAGAACATAGGTGGCATCTTCACGGTGAAAACTAAATTCACCATGTCGACGCGAACATGTAATTTTGCTTATTTTTTTGGAATAGGAGGTTGTTAGCTACTGCTTGTTGTTAGTGCTTTTCATAATTTTGTCAATATTATCCAAGTACTTGACAAGTTCTGTTCTAATAATCCAATCTATAAATTTGACAGTTGATAAAATGTTCTCTACTGATTATCCAAGATTATCCAATTCATAATTTATTGATGTTGTCTTCTTATATATATCCACATGTATTAAATTACCAAAGAATTACAGTTTTTAATAACCATGTCTTAATCAGTTACAAAATAATTACCAAAGGCTTACTGGTGTTGGAAGTCTTATATTTAAAAATTCATTCATAAATTTGGAAATTCATTTATTTAGTACATCATGAATATTCAATACCTCATTAATTTGACAAATCAATACTGTTGTACAATACAAATTTAACAACTCAATTTGTTTTCAGATGTGGCATACGCGCCTTATTTGATGAGTCAATGCCTCATGACATACACCACTATCCAACTAATTCATTAAACCAATTTACCAACCGCATTAACTCCCTCCACCACCTACCTCATTTATTGACCCTCTATATAAACTCAACA